GCCAGGTCTTGTTGTTATCTGCTTTGCCTGCTAGTTTTTTTGTGTACTGGCCATGTAATACCTTGCTTTTCCATGTTTCTTTTCTATTCTTCATTTGGTCTTTCTTATAGGTAAGTTTGGTTTCTCTGGTATTCAGTAAGCCTTCATGGTATAGTAGCTTCAGTGCATTTTTTTCACTGTTCTTCAGATATTTTTCCAATGCCCTTTTTTTCTTCTCCAACTGTCTGATGCACTTGTAACATTCCACACCCACCTACGCTATTGTGGTCCCTGTTGATCCGGCTGACGACTGAGCCGATATAAGTTTCTGTAAATTACATCTCACCATATTGTTTATGGGAAAGGTACTGTTCATCTGGTTCCTCTGATGAGACCTGTCCAGTATGGTTGAACCTCTGGCATAGCTCTCAACCTCCTTGGAGCATGCAAGCCCCACAACCACATCAATTTTGTGCCTCACTGGGGTTGTTGCTGCTGCTGCTGCTGCTGTTGTTGTCATCATCACCATCACCATCACCATCACCATCATCATCATCATCATCATCATCATCATCATCATCATCATTTTGTTGCCCAAGGCAAAAACCAAAGAGTATGCTTTCTATTTCAAGTATGACTAAACTAATGTCTTTGGCTTTGAAGTCACAGTAGAAGGCAGGCTAATTTAGTGAATAGCATCCAGTTATCTGTTTATCTTATATCTCATTGCTGCTCCCCAGAATCTAGTGACAGAATCGAGGAACTGCTTTTGAGATGTGAGTTAAATCATGTTTAGGCACCTGAAATGGATTTGATAATATTTTTGAAATTAATAATTCACAATCTTGGATTTAAAAACTGTTTTACTGAATCAGCCTCAAAGTCCATCATTTTGATTCTGACATTAGTTACATCTTGGAAGTTCATAAGTGACATAAGTGGCCACTCCCTATGTTTGATGCCAGTACTTTATTCTGGAATGAACTGTGATTAAGCAATCATGGACAAACCTCATGTCTAGAATTACTGAGTTCTCTTTTAAAAAGTATTTGAGTGTTAGCATTTATCTCAAAACACTGATGATGGTTGTAAACAACTTTCACATTTTGCACTTTGTTATTTTTCCAGCAAGAGCCACAGTTTCTTTTCTTTCTTTTCAAGTTGAGACATTCCTTCTTATGACAGAGAAAGAAGGGGAAATGCTTCTTTTGGTACAGTTCTTAATTTCATTAGGTTTTTAAAAAGTGTTTATATTAAAAAACAATGTTTGTCTTCATTTAAAGCTCTTGTCTTTATTTTTTTAAAATCCGGCCAATCAACATATAATTGTAATCTGTACTTTAATTATTTAATGATTAAGATACTCAATTAATCTACCCATTTAAATACTACAACCATTACAGGAAAGGACTGTAGTCTTCTACTCAAATGAATAATAATTTGAAGTCTTTTCCTTTCAGGTGGAAAGTCTACAAATTGGGAAGGAGGGATTCGAGTGCCTGGCCTTCTCTACTGGCCCGGCATTCTTGAGCCTGGAAAACATATTGATGAGCCAACAAGTAATATGGATATATTCCCCACCATAATTAAACTTGCAGGAGCATCACTGCCCAATGACCGGTATGGAACATAATTCCCTTTCTTGTAGAAGAGCTAACTTAAAAACACATGGCTCTAGCAATTCTGAAGGAGTCATAAGTGTAATCAGTATTATTTATGGTGTAATATAATGAGTGCTATTTATCATTTCTTGAAGTAATAACTGAGTTACAGTTGCACATAGAAGTTTCATTCAGAATGGCTTGTGTACTGTTTCTCAAACTTCTCCATAATTCCGAACAGCCCTCCCTAGCATAGTGGCACAACCCACACTTTATCCCATATGACCTCCTCACAGAAGCTGACAGGTCCCATGAAAGAAGCAAACATATATAAGAAATGAATATTTTTGATTCATGAAGTAGGTTCAGTTGTCACATAAAGGAATTGTCGGCACATTGACCACTAAAAACGTATACATGTATACATGTTAGTTTCCACATTGATATTTGCACTGTATTGGAGTCAAATCATTATTCCAATTGTCACTGTGGATTCCTTGTAGTTATAGGAAAAGGCAGGGCAGAAGGGGGAAAAGATGTGAAAGTTACAAACAGTAACTTTTGTTCTTTCATTTGTCCATTTAGCTTAATGAGTGTAGATTTCATGGAAATGTAGCAGTTTGAAAAGGTTTTCCTAACACATGTAGGAATACCTTTGAATTAAGGTTTATAGGTGTCATCAGCCAACAACTAAACAATTCATTAGTAGAGGCCACCTTAGCAACAGAAAGAAGTATGATATAGAGTTTCTCACCCATGTCAGCAGAAAAAATAAGATGACACTAAGCATTTCCAGATGATAAATAATGGTTCTGTCTATATAAGAGGGCACATTTCTTAACATTTACCTTCCCAAATGTATACAGAAAACATATATTAGGGAAGATTACCATGTTTAGAAATAAAACAGGTCTACCGTACACCAATACATATAAACATTCTCCATAAGGCAAAAGTTACTTTGTGCTTGAGTTACGGAAGACAGGCTCCAACTGAATGGTAGAAAAAATGTCCTGACAATCACAGAAGTTCAACAGTGGAACCAATTACCCAGAGAGGTGGCAGGTTTCCCTTCACTGGATGTGTTCAAGTAGAGCTAGACAGCCATTGTCAGGGATGTATTAATTTGGATTACTGTACTGAGCATGGGATTGGACTCAGTGACCCAAGTGGCCCTTCCAATATTCGATTCTATGCTTTTAATTCCCTTTGCGTACACCGAACTTAATGCTGGAAACACAGCTTCTGTATTTTAAATCTGTTATGGATCTCCGGAGGCTGAAACTGCATATTACACAGTATTTCATGGCTTGCACTTGCTTAGGGCCTGCCCAAGCCATTTTATGAAGAAAAGAAAAGGGTGGATTGCCCATCCTTAATTCTATCGTTAATTCCATAGACAAACACCTCAGTCTTACTTCAACCCTAGTGATGACATTGATCCTTATCATACAGTACACTTGCTTTGGTATTTGCAAGGAAGGGTCTTTCCCCTGAAAAACCTGAATGGGTTTATTAATGTTGCTGACCAACATTTTTGCCTATGGTGATTGCTTCACTCTGCCTAAAGACCAGACCAATTCTACATACGAATAGGTATGTCATTTAAGTCAATATCAAATTGAGCAACCTGGTACAGGAACGTTGGAAATAATTGAGACTGCTTTATTCTTTCCTGTTGAGTGTCATGTGTTATGTCTGAAATCAACTCTCACTTGATCATGCCTATCATTCTTTGCAACCATGTATTTCTCTCAGAATCTTATTGTTCCATTTTCTCTCATAGTCATCTGCTTGCCATTCCAATCAGCTCTTGGCTGCTTTAGCCATGGTTTGCAGGATAGATAAGTTATTAGAAAGAAAGGGCTGCGTCAACCCACAAAGTAACATTTGATGGCATATCTAGATCCTACTCCCACATACTGGCTTACATCCCAGCCTCTAACAGGTCCTGGTAGATTGCTATAGTCATCATCATCCCAGGGCAGTTTTAAAAGGTAAAAATCTCCTTTGGGTTAAATTTGTCCTTGTGATTACATGGACTATAGTTTAGAGACATGGAGATAGAGACAAAGAAATTACACAAAGATAATGATGTTATTAAGTGATATTACCCTGTAGCTCCACTGCCAATAATGTGGTCAAAACAAGGTGTCTGTTGGTGAACTGACATGTATTTTCTTATTTAGATGTATCAAGAAAGACAGAACTATATTAATTTACCATATTTACCAAATTTCATTTAGCATACAAAATCAGGAAGGTGGAAAAGAAGGAAAACTATTTGGACTTAGAAGAAGGTTTTAGAGATCTGTTAAAATTTGAGAACTATTACATACAATGTAGTTTCATAACCAACTTTGTTCTGATTTGTTTCTGGGCTTAAATTAATTGACCTATGTGTTTGTTGGAGCGCTGGCAATGTCTAAGAAAAAGAGATACAAAATTAGTAGAGTTGCCCAGCAATGTCAAGTGGAGGGAGAGAGAGAGGGAGAGGGAGAATTTGGGTGGCCATGTAATATATGGAATGAAACACCTGATAGTTATATACAACACTAGTGTTGTATTTATTGAGAAATGGAAATGCATAAGTTACCATTTTTTTCTCAAGGACGCCATGCATGGTTTCTACTGATTCTGCTATATTGTCCTTTTCAGAATTATTGATGGACATGATCTAATGCCCTTGCTCCAAGGCAGTGCTCTCCAATCTCAGCATGAATTTCTCTTCCATTACTGTAATGCATATTTAAATGCAGTTCGGTGGCATCCAAGAAACAGTAAGTAAAATTGCCTCTTCAAATTTAAATATTTTATGTAATTTTTATTGCAGTTTGAAATAATCGGGGAAAGAGCTTTGGACTCCGGTCACAGATAAATTGTTTGAAGTATGTAACTCTTTATCTTGGGAGGAAGAGAAGGCAAAGAAACCAATATTTTGCAGTTTGATGCCCGACAGCAAAGGTTTACATTATCACAGTACTAAAACTCTTGGAATTAGAATGCACATTAAAACTTTAGTCTCTCATATTATTAGGTATATGTTCCCAAATGCAAATATATGGACAGCCACCAGATAGTCCATATTTCCTGTTGCCATCTTGTAGTTGTCCAGGTGTTTTCTGCTCCTGAATGTTTGTTTTGTTTTACTGTACGTTATGGCAATTTTTTTCCAGTCAGAGCAATATGTGCAATAGAGAAAGAATGTAAAAAGGAACCAGCTGATTTTACAAATTGACAGACACAAAAACTTCCTAGTTTAAATATATGAATGAATGAATAAATAAATATTAAAGATTTAAAACTTTCCTAAGAATGAGTAAACTTCCCTTGTTTTTTTTTTCCAAATCAGTAAAATAATCTTTTCTCTCTTCAGCCACAGTTCTGCTAGTCCATCAGTAGTCGTGATTTTTCAAAGATAATGACAGAGTAGGCCACTTTGCTTAGCTATTGTTGACTATGTGAAACATTAACACTCAGATGAGCTACAAATAGCATTAATTGGAATTGGCATTTCAGAGTTCAAGCTCAGCTCCTTCTCACTGTGGTCTGATGAAGTAAATTTATCATATTGCTGTACCATTCTATCATTTCGTTTTGCTGCATTGCCTAGCATCTATGAAGACTTGGCAACACATCATTCTCACTGATCACAATGCTGAAGACTTTCCCAACTATAGGCAGATAGTTAAATGGGATACATAGTTAAATGGGATTGTGGAAGAGTGGGTTGTAAAAAGAGTGTAGGCAGCTGGAATTGCATGCCTTCCCCTTTATTTCTAAAGCACCTCAGATGGGGGAGAGATTGTTTAAAAAGCCTTGTGTTGGGAACAGCTGGGGGTGTGTGGTGGTAGTGATGGTATAGTGGTGGTGTGTAGTGGAGAGGCAGGAGAAAGCAAGGGAGAAAGCAATAGTAAAGGTTTGTGGAAGGGCCAGGAGCATTGTCCTTTTAAAGGAGCAGTGGTACCTGGGAATAGTATCGGATATTGTAGGGATAGCAGTAGTGTTTAATAGTTAGAGTAGTATAGTAGTAAGTTGACAATCATAGCTTAGTCACCTACATATATTAGGTAGGATAAGAGAGTAGTAGTAGTAGAAATATAGGTTAGGTGGGAACTGTATTAGTGGGACAACTGGGTAAGGAAAAAAACATTTTTTTTTTCCTGTGAATATTGGTTTTATAAGTAAAAGAACCCCAAAATTAATAAGGGAGAGAAAAAGTCTGAGTGTGCAGTGTCTCATTGGGAACCTCTTGGTGAGTCTGGGTACATCACCCTTGGATATTAAATGAACTTGTGACAGGGATACATCTGACTATATAATGACACATACAATGAAGAAAAAGCTACCGATTAACCTTTATTTCTCTCCCAGAAAATGGGCAATAATTTACAACTTTATTCCAAAGTTAGTTCTACTCTGATTTTCATCATTTTAATTTACATCATTTTAATGCTGCTTCTACTCTTATATAAACATGCTAACTACCCATCCCCTTGATTTTGCTGCCATTTATTGAAGTGTGCAAGGAAACTAAAAATTACAGCCTTGTTCTCCACTCCATTAGATCTCTTAAAGAACATTTCTCAACAACAGAGCATCCCCGTGTTTGGGACTATAACTCCTATCAACTCATTGATCATGACTGATTATAAGGAATAATTGAATGGTTATCATCCAAATGTTCTGGAGGTATCCAAGCTGGGGAAGAACAATCTGTGAGATGCAAGATGTTTTATAAACATAAAGAAACCATACACGTGCACACACAGAGACACACATACTACTGTCCACAAGGCTGCACAATGGTTTTGGATGATCATCTGCATCTTCAATGAGATATAACATGCCACCTTTCACCCTAGAGGTTTCCCATAAATAAGAGTAGCAAAGTGTTTACCTATAATTTTTTTTTTAAAGCATGGTAGTATGATAAGTTGAAAATTAAGCAGCAAAACAGTAGCCATAAAAGCAAGAGGCTATAGTAAGAGTTATGAGAATAATAAAAACAATAAATGCAGAAGATACCATTTATAATAACAACATTGAAAAGTCAGGAAACAAAGTTGTTTTTAGCTGGTTGCTAGAAACTAACAAAATAGAAAACAGTTTGTGTCCAGCTAACTACACAGGTGGATGCTGTAATACATAGTAAAGAGGCTTGTCAGTAAGCATTACACCTAAAGGCCCTCTGAGCAGAGCTTAATGAAGGCTTATGAAGGAACCAGCATCCTTCATCATTAGCTGTGCTGCATGAAGCTACAAGAACTTCAGTTGAACAATACCTGGAGGGTCACAGGTTCCACAAAATGAGCTATCATTTTCATACTGAAAAAGTATGCATATGACCAATGGCCACCAAGAAACTCAGGTGTTTCCAAAGGGAAGTAATTAGGATGATAAAGCCTGGGAGGCAATGGTTGGGGACACTGGGTACATTCAGCTTGGAGAAGAGAAGACTGAGAAGTCAGGGATTCCTGTGCTAGGAAGTGAATTGAACAGAATTGCCTCCAACATCTCCTCCAACCTTTACATTCTATGATTCAATGATTCAACCTTTAAATTCTATGATTCAGTTCTCCTCCTCCTCCTTTCCTTTATATGAAAAACATACAAGAGAAGGAGTTGGGCAATGACTTGCAATGTTGCTGACTGCTCACTCTAGTCATGTAACCCAGAGTGGATCATATGCAGTCTGCTCTCCTTCCCACTGGCTGTATACATGAAAAAACACATAGACACAATATGAGGGCAAACACACGCACAAATAGTCAACAGATATGCACCCTTCTTGATTGGGCCATGAGAATAAAGTACACACACCCCAACACACATATGTAAAATTAGAGTTGTTTGAAAAAATAAAATTAAAAAAATGAAATAAAATGAAATGATAAAATAAAATATTTTTCAAATATCTTGTTGAATTTAGTGATACATTTGTTGGAAGAACATAATGTTCGTTCTTTAGTTAGCTGTAGTGGAGAAGTTATCTCTCTTAGCCATCTTGCAGTCTTTTGCAAGTGGGGGGCAACAACACCGCAGCAGACTATGGCTTGTTCTCATACAAAACATTGAATGTATTTTTCTGTTGTTGCCAATTGGGCTTTTTACATTGTGCAGCCAGTATATGTTGGCCAGATCCTATCCTTGATCTTTTTATGCTATTTTGTTCAGAAAGCCTAGGCAAGGAGTCAAACATTGTTCTGGTCTCTTTCATGTGGCTTGCCTCCAGGGACAGCTTGATTGACTGGTCTCTTGACCAGTCCTGATCTTCATAAATACCTTTTCGGTCTTGGCACAATAGAAGAACATTCATAAAGAATATTCTCAAAGTACCCAAAGGTTCCCTATGTAGCTTATCTCTCTCTTGCACATTACAGTGCATAAAGAAAATGTCTAGGTACTTCTTTAGCTCTTTCCCTCTGATATGTGGGTGATGTTATCAGCATGGTATGGGCATTTCAGGCAGTGTCTCAGTGACAGTTCTGTTGTCATCTGCCTTTCCAGTTTTTTCCATTCTTCCATAATATACCCACCTGAGAATGTAAAATGCCATTGGTAAATTATTTTTTTAAATCACAAAGTGAATTGTGGCTATTTGCAAGCAAGGCGTCTCTGCAAAGATATTGGATATAAATCACTTAACAGCTCAAAGCCATAATTGCTTTGATATGACACTAAACATACAGCTGCTACCAAAATGGAAACTGTGCTGAGTCCTCAGTTTTTCTAAAAACTGAGCTAGGCCTTTACATTAATTTGTTCTCTATGTGATCATCTCTGTTCCAAATAATTCTGACGATATGGTTCATCAGTGAACAGAAATGTTCTATTAGCCACAATGGAGAAGGAGAAGATATGAGATATTCAGCTGCCTTTCTTTTTTTTCTTTTTTTTAGTTGTTTTGTTTTATTAGCAGACACGCATTTAATGGTTGCTGGGGAATTACTGGCATTGATATTTGGAAGGCACTAGATTGCAAAAGTCTGATTTAGACCTAAATAGATGAACATTAAAGGAAACCTCACTTTGATTTTATACCTAATCAAATACTATATATTTATATCATTTGGAATATTCTACTGAAAGTGGTCTTCCAGCAGCTACCAATAAACTTCTGATAAAATAATAAAATTAGTGGAGACACAAAGAATAACTCAGAGACCGAGGCAATAAAAGGAGAAATAAAGTTTAAAAATAATCAATAACTAAGCTATGAAAATGCTTAAAAGATTAAAATCTACTTCAGCTGCAAGTCAGTTTAGAAGAATCATATCCTTAACTAACAGGGGAGAGACAGTAGAGGTGGAATTAGCTTGGGAGAAGCTCCTATAAAGACCTTTGTCATGTTCCTGCCAAATATGCCTTGGGTAACTACAGGACAAAGACAACTCTCTCTCCAGAGGCTCTTAGAAACCAGCAAATCATATGGTATTTTGTATAATCTAGTCACATATTGTGTGCTTATCTAAAAAACCCGCATTTTGGATTATAACTAAAACTCTACCAGCAGCCTGCGAAGCTATTATAAGAAGGAAACTGTTCCCAGTAACTAGCCCTGGCCTAGTCTGGCAGGACTATTCCCTTTGGATGCTCCATCTATCATTGAGCTACAGCCTGACATGGAGCACGTTACATTACTGCAAACAGGATGTAGTATTTCTCCTGGTACTGGTAGTCTCCAGATTAAGAATGAGTTCTGTTCCCAATCTGTGTCCTTAAATCAAATTTGCATGTAAGCCAGAACAGTATTATTGTATAATACTGTATAGGTAGTATTGTGTAATGAACTCAAACAGTTGTGTATTTAACACAAATCATTGTGTATTTAACTCAAATTTTGCTACAGTAGGCTCTGTTCTTATCTATGGCTCATCCTTAAACCGGTCATTCTTAATCCGAGGACTACCTATATTCCAAAACACAGAATTCCATTTATCTACATAATCTTAGTTTAATCTGTTCTCTAAATAGATAGAGACTGTAAAGTTCTCAGTTGGTCTTGACAGGGCTAACATTTGCATGGATTTTTCCTCAGTAAAACAAACAGCTCGGACTCCAATATCTGCCCAAAGATTGACCAGCTCAGAAGGTTGAAGGGCAACAAGATTTCCAGTAGAATCCTTGCTCTATCTTAACCATCCACTATCAGCTTTATCTGCTCAACCATGAAGGCTGTTGGAATGAGGTCTCAAGTCAGGAGAACACATATCCAAAAATCCCTGCAATGCTTCTTTCCACACTCAAATCTTGCTCATGCTTTATGGATAATTTGGCTAAGCAAAGCCAGGAGTTTCATCTCTTCACTCTTTTCAGATAGGCCTGTCAGACCCAAGGTCTGGAACAAGTCCAGGAACAAGTATTTGCTGTTGTACTTTTCTTCTAGTCATTGGCTGGCAGCAGTAGTTTCAACCCACAAGACTATCTAGATTTTCTGAATTGTGAGCATCCTTTGAAATCTCTTTCCTATAATGCTGTTACTTTCAAGTAACTATATTTAGGACCAAATAGCCTTAGTATTTTAAATATGACTAAACAACCCATGACCCATTGGGTCATTGTTTCATGGATATTTCGTTATCTAAACAGAGAATGACTATGGGTGGGGAAAAAAGCAGTGGGAGCGGGAGAGACATACAATTTCCTGCTGGCTTTCCCATTGACTTTCCTTGTGGGAAGCTGGCAGTGAGCATTAGAAATATGCCTGCCTGCCTGCCTGCCTGCCTGCCTGCCTGCCTCTTTCTTCTTCTCCCTC